CTGAAGTCATGATTGGATGTTTTTCTAAAAGATATGCCCTAGGAATTATTTTGGGGAAGTTCTATGGCCTGTATTATACAGGAGGTCAAACTAGATGATCAGAATGGTCCCTTCTGGCAATAAGTATTCAGTACACATTCTGCTGTGTGCATCAAAATCTATAAAGGCGTCCACTGAAAATATAAAATTCTCCATCTGTATGAAATGAATGGCTATTCGTATATGGAAAATACAGCTTACTAAAGTCAATATTTGTTCAGTAATTGATTAGAAGATTCCAGGGTAGATTGATTTAAATCTAACAATGCTGTAATTGACAATTATCACTATCACATGGCACTGTCATTGCTGAATAGCTTTATGAGTAGCTTTCTTATCTGTAATGACAGCAATTATTTTAAAGTATTTAAGCCTGAGAAATAGACCTGTGGAATATACGTTACCATATTTAAAGTAGTTTCATTTCACTATGTTTTTCTCAATCTTACTGAGTGCAATATACTTAGATTGTAAGCTCTTGGGGCAGGGATCATGTATTCTTCTGCATACTGAAGTGCAGAGAATACTATCAGAGCTCAACATATAACACATCTGCAAATCAAATATTTAATAACTATAGCAGAATGCAATCTACTATTATCTGCGTTCTAAGGGGCATTAACAAAATACAATCAGTATCTCCCAAGAATTAAGAGGCAGTGAGAGACTTGTCTGTGACACACTAATCTTAAAAATTCACAAACGGGGGATTGTATCCAATTAGTTCATTTTATCACTGAAATATGTTATTGTCATGGTAAACTTATATGTTATGTCATATATAATCAATGTGAAATGAATACATATAAGTAGGATAGGACTATAGGATATAAGGTTGACAAGTATATAGGAGTGATGAGTGTGTATTAGGTATATAAGTAAAACAAGACAGTAATGTAAGGCCTACAGGCTAAGGCCTGTAAGATTTCAGCTTAGCCACACTAGGACTCAGGCTTAAGGAGACTTGATATGAGTGAGTGACCTAAGACTGACCCTATGCCATGAAAGCTCCAAGATTACTACAAAGAATGTTCCAATAGGTGATGTTATGGAAAAATAGACCACAAGACACCTGACTGTAACTCATGAAAAGTTCTGTTCTGAGCACAGGTTGCCCTGGAAACAGGTTGACTTAAATGCTAATAAGAAAAAGGTGAACTAAGAGAATGGCCTATAGAAAGTGGAGCACTTCCAAAATTCCTGGGGTGTGTAAGTACAGATAAGAAAAAGGAGGGTTGGAACCCTCATGCATGTGCATAAGGTGTTAGGCATGGTCAGAACAACAAGATAAAAGAGGTGCTCTGGCTGGGATAAAGTGGGAAGACCTGGAGGGAAGACCTCATTGGGACAACCCAAGCCAGAACCATCCTTCTACGACAACCACCTGTTGAGAGATCCACTAGAATCTATATAGCATCTTTGGATATGTGAAATGGCCTCTCAGGTTTTATACCCAAATGTGAGATTGTAACCCTAATTATCTGCTTAGTAAAACTTATAATACAGACAAAACTTCTTACTTATGATTGTGCGTGTGGTCACGGTCTTCGTTTTTCATGTGTTCCTAGAGCCTCCAAATCTAAGGGTGATTTCTATGCTATTAATCTTAAAACTGTGGCCGCACAGGAGCCAGACTCACTGTGCTTTACCACAGAACTATTAATCAATTCAAAATTAAAATAAAGGCTACAGAATTGTGATTGTACAAGCAATTCCTGAGTACCCAGGAAGGTCAGACTGACCTAACGAGGCAGATGCAAACATGCCTGCCACAGAAAGGAGAGTGAATGTTCTGTTTATTCAAGTAGTGTTTTTCAAAAGTAGTTTTTTCATTATAGTTGGATATCTGAGCCTACCACCAGTGGTGGCCATCTTGCTAGAACGTCATGTAAATTTGTGACCATGGCAGAGTGGTAGCCCAGTGTCAATCTATAAATGAATTTCCAACTCCCTTTAATAGTATCTTTAGTGCTATTATATTTTATTTACTAGAACAGATTTGAAAAATGCTTATATTGTTTTACACTGAGCTGCCAATGACTTCACTTTTGAGAAAGATGGCTACTGCCAGCATTTACCTCAAAAAGGTTAACTACATATTTAGAGATGAGGAAAAGTCTGGCTTTGTTTTTGCAAAAGTTTTGTCAAGTTTTGTAAAGACAATATCACGAGTGGTTTGGCTCTGGGTCGTGTTTATCCAGATTCCCAAATTTCAGAGGTAATTGGATAAATGATTCTCACTTTGACCTAACTTTAATTGCCATTAAAAGCTGTCATTACATATATATGTAGTATTGTGCTTCTCACAGTACCCTGAGAATGCTGAGATAGTTGGACAGAGCAGAATGGGTAATATATTCCTTTAACACTCAAGCATTTCTACACTATTTACTTATTTTTATCTATTATGTCTCTATCCACACAGAGAATATCACACAAGAAGAAAGTTTCAATGAAAGCTGTGCATTCAACAAAATCATGGAGGATGGGGGGGGGGCATAACTAAATGCTGCTCCAGTAAAAATGGTATTAATATTGTGAACATATAATAAACTGAATCTGTTTCTTATCAATTATTTTTATTGAGTAGAAGAAATGGTAATGGACAGTGGGTTGCAGATTTATATAAAGACTACTCTCTGTTGAGGGACTAGATAATTCAGGGAACTGGTAATGGGATACTGAGCTTTTCACCTCTAAGTCAGCCATTCAGATCAGTACATAGTAAGTACAGACAAAAAGCTGTTACTGTCAGATGATATTGGGTTATCTATGTGAAATGATTTAATTACTTCAGTCCATTTCTTAGGGACAAGTGATCATATCACCAAACAAATACATAAATTATAGTTTGGCAGCCTTGACAGCTGTCCCAACAAAATGAGCATGGAGACTGGACTGAACTACCCTCTTAGTCTTAACAGTAGGCCTTCCAGGCTCAGGGTTAAAACCTTTTGGTGAGCTGGTGAGCCTTGATGTACCATAATGGATAAACAGAAGCATAATGTCTTCCAAGGTTCCTTTCACCAACACTTAATTCAGCTGTAAAGTGAAAGTGTTTATTAGTCTCCTTGTAGCTATAGTTGCTCTCCCTTAGAACTGCTAGGCTCAACACTGACACATATTTCAAAGCTTCTTTATTGTACATATAAATGCTAATGAGGCAAATAACTGCCTTTTTCATACGCTCACACCCTCCCCCTCACTACAGACTACACTAACTGCAGAATATCATTGTATTACTTTGTTGTGAGGGTAAACCACCACTCCCATCATTGAAGTAAGTGTGGGATGTGGGAGCAATAGTACACTGCTAACATTACATTTTGATTGCAACTGTTAAATTAAAATAAAAATGTCTTTAAATGCATTCCTGGGCATTTCTCTAAGGAACACTCACCTACCCATGCAATTAACTCACAAGCTGTCCACTGAATGTCATTGTTTATCTCTAGATATTGTACTGAAATAACAACAAGGAAGCAAATGCAGAAAGTAGTTTGAAACAAGTTTGAAGAAAATATGTTTTTCTCCTTGTCACAACATAAAGGGATGAGTTTTCAACTTGGTTCCTTTACAAGTCACCTGAATCTACGGTGTGTGCATATATACCTATAAACGTATTTAAACACTTTAGTAACTCTTCACTATGGAAGAGTCCCCTAATGCCTTTATGTAAGGGCAGCTCCCTAAGAGTATAGTTTTTTGTTTTGAGGAAGAAAGGGTAATCCCTTATGAGACAGAGTGAACATTGCACACCACACTACAATACAACATAACCTCATTTAGAGAAAGCTTTAAACCCTAGTATCATGTTTCTTCAATATAAAAATAACTGGATTTAGGGTTACTCTCAAATTCAGGCAAGAAAGAGTGGGAAGTATGTCTGTGCTGAGGAAGCTGCCACCAGAAAGGACAATTGGGATTCTACCCTTGGAAAAACCTTTATTTTTCCGTCCTAGGAAAAGTTACCAGTCCAGCCAGGAATATTGATGAAAGTAGCTCTGAAACAGGGACATTATTCTTTCTTGGGTATATGTATCCAAAAAATAATAACCAATAATAATAATAATGAAAATTCAGTAATTCGTCACCTGATTTAAAAATGGGAAAAATGCACGTTACACGTCCTATACTTAATTTGTGCTGTGGTACTAGACCATTATCTAAATTCTTCTAAAGACACAGAAATTCCAGTAGAATTTTCAGCCAGTTCCTGCTGGTTCTCAGTTGGCCAGTAGGCTTGGAACAAAGCAACAGGGTCCATTGCCCACCCCACCCCACCCCCCTTAGAAATCAAGAGAGACATACAGAAAGATTATAATGGAATTTCTAATGGATTTTTCACTAGAAGATTTCTTGAGAAGAAAGTACAGCCTTATTTGCTTTTTTATTTTGTTTCCAACACACCTACAGGAAAATAAATTTGAACTAAAGGCTAAATACCTAATTAAAGCAAGAGTGGCCCAAATGACAATCATGTGGCAAATTCAGCCCATGGACATCACTTGCATATGGAGATACAGCCCATGGAGACTACAAAATCCAATATGCAGCAGTTCTGTTTGAGACGAGACAGGGCACTTTGCCTGTTGTGACCCGTAGTCTCTCCAGGACTCACTTCCATATTAAAAATAAGAGCAGCTGTAATCTGTTACATTTTATGCAATTTAGGTGGCCCCTCCTGCCTCTGGCAAGTTTTCAATAAAACATTTGGATCAGCGAAGTTTGGGGGCTCCCTTCCGAAGGCACGCAGCCATCAATTTCAAAGAACTTAAAATAACTGAACCAAAAGCTGCGTTAGTCTCTGTTATTTTATAGGAGTTGAATTATTTATATCAATGAATGTAATGCTCACCACCAGTGCTGTCTACTGCCACATATTTATGCCACTTATTTTCCCAAACAACAGCAATCAGCCCAGAAATTATTAGTTTAATGATAGCAACAAAGGTCCTTACCTGTGAAAGCATTTGTGGCCTGAAAACCAGCTTCCTGCATACTGCTCTCCCAGCGAAGCTTGTGATTCCAATCTTAACCTGTCCTAACTAGAGGCAACTGCAAGGCTTGAAGCTGTCAAGTCACTTCCATCTTAGCTTGTCACAGTCCATTTGTCTCCCCATTCCCGCATTTGGCATCATCCAATTCCCACCTGCTCCCAGGTCCTTTGAGCCGTAGGTACAAGGGATATGCACTGAGCCCAAACAGCAAACGTACGACGCTCACCTCAGCCGTCCAGCCAGTGGATTTTGGCCATCATGAATTTGAAAGTGAAGACAATTGTCACACTGAGATTGTATTTCCTTTTTAAAATTTAGTTCTAATCCACTGTTCATCCAGCATCATTTTTTTGGGATTGAGCCACTTGTGATGTTCAATTGTCTTGTCTCTCTTGTGCTTCTCTCCCTCTTCAGGCGCACTCACTGAGAAATTAAAAAAAGAAGAGATTATGTTTCCTGATGACCTCTAGAAACATTAATATTAATAGACTCCGGGGAACAAAAAAACCCCAAAACACATGATCAGAGATTGATTGTACACATTAAAGGAGATCTTCAGAAGGCAAATATTGTGATTTTGCTGAGATGCAAAGTGTGACCGCACAGCTCTTTGAAGTGCAAAGAGAAACAGTGCTGAGGGTGTCAGATGCATCGCTGAGAACATGATATGATTTACATTTCAAAAGCCATATTTAGTAGAGATGGGGGCAGCAGTACAATAACAAAATTGCAGTTAAAAGGGAAAAGGAAAAACACTTAAAGATCTCAAGTCTAGCCTATTCACAACCACAGTGAGGATAGCAGCATTTTATAAAGCTGCTTCCCTTCTTTTCTTGAGCAAAATGCAGAGTACTGCAGGCTGTGAAACCTGCGTGTGTGCATCTAACAACTGACTTCCATGGTTAAAATCCCTTTGCTACAGGTGCTGTTAATTACTTGTTCAAAATCTTAGTTGAAGAACAGAAGATGCTACCTAGATGCTTAGCAAGGTTAAAAAACAGGTTATAGAGCAGTGATTCTCAACCAGGGGTCCCTGGGAGGCTATGATCAGGTTTTAAGGGGTCCGCCAAGAGGGACAGCGTTAGACTTGCTGGGGCCCAGGGCAGAAAGCCGTAGCCCCACCATATTTGAAGTCCAGGGCCCTGTGCCCCACCACCCAGGGCTGCAGCTGAAGCCTGAACAATGTAGCTTTGCGGGGGCCCCCATTACTTGGGATCCAAGGCAACTGCCCTGCTTGCTACCCCCTAACACTGGCCCTGGCTTTTATATGCAGAAAACCAGTTATTGTGGCACTGGTGGCCGGTGGAGTTTTTATAGCATGTTGGGGGACCCTCAGAAAGAAAAAGGTTGAGAATCCCTGAGGACAAAGGGGGCTGAACTTCTCCCCAGTACTTGTTATTCTCTCGAGGAGAATTAAGGAACAGGCATCTGTGAATGACTATACATGTTAAGTAGGAGGGTGACCAGACTATTTCAACTAGGACATACATTTAGTCTCATTATGGGGACACCAGTAGGGTGCATATGGGATGGTTTTGGCAGCCAGGGAAGTATTTTGTGCATTTTGGGAGCAAGATTAGTCCAGAGGGATGAAGTAATGTTTCAGCATCTGAGACATTCTCTGGCACTTATTGCTGTGGGGTACAGGAAAGCCGACTGCTGAAGGAGGCTTAGAAGTGAGGTCCACTGTGATCATCCCTCCCTCAATCCACCCATTGACGGTTTAGCTTCCTTCCTTCCATGCAGCAACCTCTGGTGCACCATTTCCTACTTGAAGGACACGCTCAATGCTGAGCTGTCTGACCTGATAAGAGCCTCCACAGGAACATAGGAATGGTCATACTGGATCAGACCCCAGGTCCCGCTAGTCCAATATATTGTCTCTGTCAGTGGCCACCACCAACTACTTCAGGGGATCTGCTTAAACCTTCTAGCATAAGGTTTAATATCCTGGATGGTACTGAACTATACAGGAGATTCTGACACTCTCTTTGGACTTACCTGCACAAGGATACTCAGGAAAGTTATACTGACTCAACTAAAGGAGTGATGTCAATGAGCATATATTAAAGTGCGCTAATCCCCTGCCCGGCTCTGCCAGGTTCACATTCAGCAGTCAAATGGCTGGCTTTAGATCACTTTAACTTTAACTCCTCTTCCAAGGAGGCATACACACAATTTCAAGCACTTTACAATTTATGGGTACTGACTTCACGCTTTAGTTGATTCACTTTGGCTTTCCTGAGTGGCCCTGTGTAGTTGTGCCTTTTGGAGCACCTTATGCTGCAAAGGGCACCAGTGCATGGGCAGCTGGTCCTCAGGTTCATCATTAAGGCCCTATCTTGATAGGCAAAAAGGGTCTGTTTGTTCTGTTAGCTCCGTGGAGTTAGCTTAATGCTCAGTTGACCACCCACCCTACCCAGGCGACACCATAGCCAGCAAATGGATGAGCCTGAGTCTCAATGGACTTTTTCATCATGTTAAGACAACATGTTTGAAAAACATATCCTTTCTGTCCATCAAGACACAGCCTAGGGGTAAAGAGGGATGGCAGCTTGACTGGCTAACTACTCATATTCAAACTAGAGAGGCAAGGGGCAACATTATCAACGCAATCAGTCAAGACACCAAAGCTGTTTAGCAATTGTTCCAAATAGGCTTGTTCAGCATCCGTTACTTCTTCAGCTGGAGTGTTTATAGAGTTGTATGACATAGTGTAATAAGACTTGTATGCAGCATAGCTAGTGCATTAGACTTTCACCATTGGAGTTCTGGCTTAAAGTCTTAACTTAGGTGACAAGTAAAGAAAACTTCTGATATCTCAGGGACATATCCTGATATCACAAAACCATAATCTCACTTGGTACACAATAAGCTTCCCTCAAGAGACTCAGTACTGAACTAGCAGGGGTGCTGTAAGAGAGGATTACAGTGCTCTGGAAAACCATTTTGGGGAAGGATGCATCGTTCTGGCAGTCTGCAGGGCCAAAACCACTGCTAGAAATCAACTTCAGCATTTTAAAACTCTGTTTTAGAGTTGATTTAAATTCTTTTGATCGCTCAGATTTCCAATGCTTTCAAATGCTGAATGTAATTCATTCTGTCCTATATGGCAGCCAACCATCAAAACGGCAAATTTCCTATGATTTTTATAATATGGTATTTCATGCTACTAAAGTAAGTCAGTGATTTACTTGAGTTTACAATTAAGAGATAGTCATTGGAATTGCATGGAAACATTTTAGTAAAAACTGAACTTGGACTTAAATAGCAGGGGATTTTTCTTTATTTTCTAAATACATGATTGTGTATACACACACACACGGGCGAGAACCTAGTTATCAAACTCCTTTTAGAAACAGTAGGCCACGTCCTCAGCTATACCAATTTATACTAGCTGGCCCATAGATTTTAAACTAACTTTCTAAAAGGAGCTTGACAATATTTAAAAAAAAGATCAGTAACAACTGGAGACACACTATCACTATTATTGTAAATCCCAAGTTATTATTAATGTTATAATAGCCCCTAGGAGCCTCAATGAGGCTCAGGCTCCATTCTATTGATCAGATACAAAACCACATCCATGATACAATGACTATATTTTGCTCCATCTATCATCTCCATTCCAATTCCTACAGGAATTCTGCTTCTAGTTCTGCTTCCACTTACACTACTGTGCTGTTATGCTAGTCTCAGAAGCAAAAGAAAACATTGTTTTAAAAAAATGTTGGTGTTTTAAAGATTTCTAGCTACTTATGCCTCCCATGATTGAAGCCCAGGAGACACTGACTAAGGAAGAGGGAAACTATATCCCTTTGCTTCTGTCCTCTCCACTCTGCTCAGATTTGTTAATGATTGGAAGATCAGAGAAAGACCATGCCATTTCCATACACAGAGAATATGGAAAATATTTTCACTGCTCAACACACTGCATAGAATAGTAAAGTCAGTTAGAGAGTCTCATGATAGATTTACCTACTCCTCCTTCTTTATCCCTTGCTATCTTCTTCTCTTCTGCCAGTGTTTGCCAAACACCACCAGCAGACGAGTTTACAAAAATGGAAATGAGAGAGAAAAGTGGCAGCAGTAGTGAGTGGATTTAAATCCTGTAATAATATTTACACACTGTACAATTGTTAAAGCCAATCCTCAGTGGGTCATACTCAAACAAGAAGTGCCGTATTTTTCCAATACTGATACCTTTGTAACATCTTAATTCAAAATATATTTAAAAAGTAAATATTGCAGGGTTCCCCCCCCCCATTTCCTTCCACTGAGTATTGTCTGTTTCTTTGGCTATGTGCTGTTCCCTTGGTGATAGATATGCAGTGAGAGCCAATTGATTGTATTCTCAGAAAGATCAGAGTTGTGGGCAGTATCTCCTGTGATAGCCATTTGCACGTGATGTCCAAAAAAAGAGTAAATACTTAGCTAAGATGTTTTTAAATCTATACCAGGAACAGCTACAATGAAAGCCCATACATTTATACTTTTGAAAAATGTAAGAAATTAATTGCATGGTTGTGGTTTAATTTAACCTGGAGCAAGGATCAGTTCTCTTGTTGGTAGTTTCACCAGCAGGCAAGGAGAGTTTAAGGACAGAGGGGCTGAACTATCCTAATACCTACTCCTTGTGGCATATTGACAGAGCAGTGTAGGAAAGCTTGTCCATTAGTTGCCTTTTGGGTTCTGTGGATAAAGAGATGACAAAGCTATGACTGTCAATTTGGCAGCTTTCAAGAGCACTATGGCCCTGATCCAGCAAGGTATTTAAACACTTGCCTAAATTCAAGTATTTGAATTACCCTACTGAAGCCAGTGACACTACTCAAGTGGATAGGCACATGCTTAAATACTTTGCTGAATCAAGGCCTATCTCCACTATATCTTAATATCCTTATATTTATATTATACTAGTGATTTGGTTGGAAGGATTGGTATACATTTTATAAAATACCACAAAGGATTTTAAAGATGTGCTGAAGCGACTGAAACTATCAGAATGTAAACATATATAAACTGCCTACAATTTATACATATATGCCTTCATCAGTCTGCTTACTTCTTCATTCTCCTGAGCAATCACACAGAGTTTTGTAGGTTACACTTTGCTGTCTCTGAAAGCAGTCTTTAATATTTTAAGCTCTGCTTTTGTTTCTCCCTTGGGATTTCTCAGTCTGACATAAATATTTACCAGTTACACAGTCTCCTTTGTTAGATAGTAAGGTATGCATTTTTCTGTGTGATCCTTTGTTATTTCTCTGGCTCTTATGTAAAGTTTCTCTTCCTTGTGAGCTAGTGTTGTGTCAGTGCCTGAGCCTGCTGTTAATGGAGTACCAGGCCTCGGGACATGCCACCTTTCAGATGAGACCACTTATGGGCACTAAAGATCTCATGACATTTTTCACAAGAGAAGGTAT